GGGGGGGGGGGTTGAGGACACATACACGAGTGGGACAGACACCGCCCCCCAAGTTGGGGGGGGACACGCACATGGTGGGGCACCCCCCCACCCCCCTCCCCGCCCCGTCCTTGTCCCCGCGGCACCGTCCTGGCCGCTGGCCCAGAGAACCAGCTGCCGCCGGGCTAAAAATAGCAGCTGAATGACGGCAGGGGGGGCTGCCGGGGGTGACAGCGGTGACGTGAGGGGGTCACGGTGTCCCCCTAACGTGCTGTCACCCCCCCCTTGTCATCATGTGTCCCCCCCTCCAAAACAGGCATCACCAATCCCAAGCTCCCCAAAGACGCCACTAAGCACTTCACCTTTGACTACTCGTACTGGTCCCACACTTCGGTGAGTACTGAGGGGGTTGGGGGGGACACGGCGGGGGTCCCCAACACTCCTAATTGCCCCCCCCATCCCTGCCCCCCCCCGCAGGAAGAGGACCCCCACTTTGCCTCGCAACGCCGCGTCTACCAGGACATCGGGGAGGAGATGCTGCTCCACGCTTTCGAGGGTTACAACGTCTGTGTCCTCGCCTACGGCCAAACAGGCGCTGGCAAATCCTACACCATGATGGGCAGGCAGGAGGCCGGGCAGCAGGGAATCATCCCGCAGGTATTGGGGGACGTGGGGGGGTAGTCTGGGGGGTCTCAGGAGGGTTTTGTGGGGGGCTGGACCCCCCGCAAAAGCCTCTGGCTCAGCACTGCTCGCCCCCAGCTCTGCGAGGATCTCTTCACCCGTGTCAGCCGTGAGGGATCCCCCGATCTCACCTTCTCTGTGGAGGTGAGTGGGGGGGGCATTTGGGGGTTCGGGGGTAGCCCCCCCATTCTCACAGATCCCCCATTTGGGGGGCTTGGGGGTTCAGGGTGGGCTCCCTTATCTCACAGCCCCCCCTGCCCTGGGGCTGTGTGGGGCTCAGTGTGGTATCTCCATCGTAGCCCCCCCACCCCACTGCCAGGCAATTTGGGGGGGTTCAGGCCAGCCCCCCAACTCCTCACAGCGTCCCACCCCAGCAGTCTGGGGGTTCATTTGCCCCCCCACCTCAACATTTTGGGGGCTCAGCTGCCCCCATGCCCCAGCAGTTTGGGGGTTCAGCTCATCTCCCTCCCTTGGGGGTTCACCCCCCCACCCCATCAGTTTGGGGGTTCACCCACTCCCTCACACTCCATCAGTTTGGGGGTTCAGCTTCCCCCAGTGCAGTGGTTTGGGGGCTCAGTTCATTGCCCCGGGGGTTTAGGGTTCACTGCTCCCACCCCATCAGTTTGGGGGTTCCCCTCCCTCACCATTCCGAAGGTGTGTGCCCCCCCTTCTCCAGGTGAGCTACATGGAGATCTACTGCGAGCGGGTGCGGGATCTGCTGAACCCCAAAAGCCGGGGGGGGCTGCGGGTGCGGGAGCACCCCCTGATGGGCCCCTACGTCCAGGACCTGTCCCGCCTGGCCGTCACCTCCTTCGAGGACATTGCCGACCTCATGGACAGCGGCAACAAGGCCAGGTTGATTGGGGGGGCAGACGGGGGACACCCCGACATCTGGGGGGGCCTCCCCAAACCCCCCCCCCCCCAGTCGCCACTGATGTCTTTTCCCCACTCCCACTCAGGACGGTGGCGGCCACCAACATGAACGAGACGAGCAGCCGGTCCCATGCCGTCTTCACCATCGTCTTCAGCCAGCGCCGCCACGACCGCCTGACCGACCTCCACACTGAGAAGGTGATGCTGTGCCCCCAAAACCCCCTGAATCTCCCCAAAATCCTCCCCCTCAGTC